TTTCCTCTTTAACTTCGCTATTGATGAAGACATGGGAACAGCGTTCGCTGGACACAACCTAGAAGGTGTGGAGCTACATCCTGGTGAGCGACTTATTGACTTGAAATATGCGAACGACATTGCCCTCATATGTGACAGCGTCCGAACGTGCCAGGCTACACTGGACCGATTATCACTGGCTGTCAATCGTTTTGGGCTGTGCTTGGCTCCATCGAAATACAAAGTTTTCTCTAAGCTTGGCTTGCCGAACAACCTCCTCGTGGTGCCAGCTGGGTGGTTCAGGATTTTCCCGTTCCAGCGAATGGTTCGGCGGCAGTGTTCCAGGATGTTGTGGGTTTTCGCCTGGCAAGTGTTCTCCCTATAATGAGCCACAAATGTCCGTTTAACAACACTGCGACGTGGTGGATGTGACTCGCCACTAAATAAAGTCACTGCCCCTTGCCCCTCCCTCAGAGGCATTGTACTTTAAGGGTGCGTTGGGCCTCTGGTCCTTCACCGACTGAAAGGCATATGAACCATCTATTTGGTCACCGGCTCCCAACGGGTTACGACGCGCTCACATCGCCCTGCTGCCTTGTAGGTTAGATCTTTGATCAAAGGCTTGGGGTAGGGCCCCCTAAGACAATCCTCTACTTCGGCCTGGGCAACCAGGTAGTATCACGCCCACTGACGAATCATGGTCCACGCCGCTTACTACTGCTACTGCTATGCCTATCTTCTGTGCTAACTTAACCGCTCAACATTTACTCACAGATCACCCCACCTCCCATCCTTCACCCACATGTACTCTGATGTCTTCTACGGTCACCGTCACAAACGATCCACGTCTCGCAGCTGATGGAAGTAACAGCTAAACTCCCGGTTTTCAAAGTCCTGTGATCGCAACCGCCTCTCACTCCACCGAAGCTCCAGCTCTTCTTCGACCTGGTTCTCCATTCATCCTCGCAGCGTTTAATGTTCGAACTTTGATGCAGATCGGACGACAAGCTTGTCTTGCCTGTACTCTTGAAACGCTTTCGTTAGACATCTGTTGCCTTTCAGAGACCAGATTACAAGACTCTAGCGCCGTCATCAGAATGACCTCTCCGGTAAACTCTGACGCCAAATACTACTTGCGGCTTTCCGGAGACCCAGAAGCTGCCGCCACTGGTGAGGTCCTCTGCAAAGCACTGACCTCTCTATTCGAACGTATCCGGAACGGTGTCCCGGCTACTTGGAGCGAATCGATTATAGTGGCAATATACAAGAAGGGCAGTCGCACAGACTGTTCTAACCACAGGGGTATTAGTCTAACGCCAGTTGTGACAAAATTACTGGCCTCGATTATCGTTCGTCGCCTCACTGCAGAACGGGAATCTCGGATTAGGGAAGAGCAGGCCGGTTTTCGCCCAGGACGTGGCTGTATAGACCATATATTTACTTTGCGGCAGGTGCTAGAGCAGCGCCACGCATACCGCAGACCGACAATAGCTGTGTTCCTCGATTCGGTCGATCGATCGATTCTGTTCGAATTACTTGCGCGAAAAAGTTGTTCCCACGAGATATGTGAACATCCAACGTGCTCTATACTCGAACACTACAGGCCGCGTCAGGGTCTATGGTGTCCTGTCGGATAGCTTTTCGACTACAAGTGGTGTTCCTCAGGGTTGTCCGATTTCCCCCTTTTGTTCAATTTTGTCTTGGATTCTATCATGGAGTGTTCTCTGACGGAATCCAACGATGTAGGCATTGTAGTGCTGCCTGATGAAAGATTAGTTGACCTAGATTATGCGGATGATATCGTCTTGCTTTTCGACGATTTTGCGGCGGCGCAATCAACCCTGAATAGCCTGTCCAGAATGGTCCCATTATTTGGTATGCACTTCGCACCTTCAAAGTGCAAAGTGTTGCTGCAGGACCACCAGCCACTTGATGACCCCTTGACGCTTGCTAACGAGGAACTCGAGGTGGTTGATCATTTCACTTATCTTGGCAGCTGCATCAGCAATGATGGGCGCATAGAAACTGACGTGATTTCACGCATTGCAAAGGCCAGAGCTGCCTTCTTGAACCTGCGTCATCTTTGGCGACAGAAGGGAGTTTCCCTCCGTCTGAAAGGCCGTGTATACAAGGCCACAGTGAGGGCCAGTCTACCAGGTGTAGGATAGCGCAAGCCTCGAGGTGGACAGTTGACTTGGCAGCGGGAAATGAAGTCACTGACAGCCAAACTGGGTGCCGTTGGTCCGTCTCGCCTTCCGGGTTGGAGTCCACGTGACTCACCTTGTGCTTGGCTCGGGACTTTACCGGACATGGCTCGCAGTAGACACCAGTGGCGCGTCTGCTGCCGTCTTCTAATCGGATTGCCTGTTTAAAGTATGTTTAGTGCTGAGTTATCTGCGAGGTAATGGCTGATTATGACGCGTGGCAGTGAAAGCCGCAAGGAAGCTGTCTCGCCGATGCCGGCTTATCTTTGCACGATAGCCAGCTGTTTCTGACGGTGTTGTCTACACAAGGTGTAGGCACCTTGACCCTGAATGTTTGCTTAGGGCATTAAGGTTTTCAGGTAAGTCCCACTTCTCTCTTCTTATTCTTTATCTCATAGGTCCTCATGGTTGTATGGCGGCGAAGTATCAGTACAAATGGCTGATGTACTGCTGTTGATGATGATGATGAAGCAGGCGTCGAGACGTTAAGCGTGCCTTGTTTGTCCTCTCCGCCTACGCCCCTACAGACTGCAGCCCGGATACAGTTAAATATAGCTTTTAAAAGCAGCTACATAAACTGCGTTCCTCCAAACGGACTGTTATAGTCATTCTTGCCGGGAACTTTAACCCACGGGTTGGCCGCCTTTCACCAAGCGAGCACCACTCTGGGCGTAGTTTTGGACTCGGTGGCAGTCGATCAGACAATGGAGACAGACTGCTTGCTCTTTGCTGTGATCATCGCTTGTTTCTTCCGAGCACTAGTTTTCAGCACTCGAGGAGACAGACTGCTACCTGGCGCCCGCCCTCACAAACGCAAAAGTGCTCCTAGCTTGACCACAGCAGTCATCTACAGATGACGCGGAAGCGTAATGGACTGCCGATCGTACTGGTCAACTTTTATAGACTCCGATCACCCATTGGTTCGTGCTAAAATTTGCATGCGTTTCGGAGGATCACCTAAGCGCACCCACTACCGACCGGACGTCGCGAATCTACAAAACCCTGCGATTTTAACCGGGTACCTGTCAACCTTGCTTGGCTCAACTATTGACGGTGATCTCCATTCGCAGTGGGCGCATATCAATGATGCTTTAGTTTCCGCCAGTATCGACACTTGTGGAGTTACCCATCACCCACCGAAGCATTGGATTTCCGCCGACTCCTTGTCGCTGACGGACAGAAGCCGCTTGCTCCCATCGGATTCCAGACAGTGAAGAACGCCAGTACCTTGGTCGAGAGTTGCGCAGGAGTCTGCAAATGGACCGCGAAGCTTGGTAGTGTGAACGTGCTAGGGAGATAGAGCTTGCTAGTCTCTCTGGTAATGCCAGAAAACTCATCTCATTCGAGTCACCGAAGGTGTTCGATCTGGTATAAGTGAAACAATATGCGAAGAAG